TTGGCAAGTGAGAGAAGGCCAGAGACGAAAGAGGGAAATGTGGTTGAAAAACAATGGTCATTCCTTAGCATAGACGGCATGATATTTATGAATTGATCAATGAAACAACATACAAAATTGAACGTCAATACTAACACTATTCACTGAACATTTCATTTGATACGCCTCCAATGATAAGTATAGTACTGTCCACCTGTCGCGATGCTTATGCATTTATTGTATTTATATTATTTTTCTTTTGAAAGGACAGGAACTGACAGGAGCGATGAGGCCAGAGACACTTACATTCGGCAAGTGTCAAGAGAATGTTACTATCCATGGCAAAGCTGAATCAATTCCTCACCGCAGAATGTGATCAGTCCTGCACCCAGTCATCTGGTTCTTCATCAGTGAATACTGGAACTGTCAGGAAAGAAGAAAAAAGTTACAGTTTTCTGTTGTTTTTGGTGAATGGTGAGGTTTTTCATTTTCCACGTCATTGAAAAGAACATACGAATGAAATTGAGGTACAAGAATTTCTATCTAGCTTTAACTGTTTTAAGCCGTAAAAGGCAACACTGCTTTTTGCTCTAAGGAAAAAGGGTAAATTTATCAACTCTACTACTAATAACGCTTTGAGGGGGAGAGGGATAAAACCTGTTAGAAAATGTGCGGAAAACAACGGGAATATCTTCCATGCATCCACTGTATGGGTTACTATTCTGCAAAGAACTTATGGCGTCATCGCAAACAATGTGATGCAAAACCCGGAGAAGGGATCGTCGGGCAAACTATCACAGGGCTTTTAGGACACAACTCTGTTATTGTGGTAATATAAAGGTAGATATTGAAGCTCAAAGTAAAAGTATTTCCTCGCATGAGACCTGACAAAAGTTTCATGGTTGCGAAAAATGATAAATTAAATGTGCGTTTGCTTCCCGATATCTGAAACTCCATAGGGAGCTACATTTTGTCCAAGTCGTTTCTAGGAAAATGAGAGAATTGGCTTCGACTTCTAATGGAGATAAAAAAATTAGATTTGTCTGTGGTTACCCTATTTGATGCTCTAAAAACCACACAAATATGACATACTTGTGATGAAAGCACCTAAATTAACATCAGGATATGATGACGAAAGCACAACTTATAAATCCCCCACATATGCTATGAACATGGGTACAACCTTAAAACAATGTTGCGATGTGGCTCTTTTACACGTTCTAAAAAAATTCTAAGTCACTGCCAACAGTAGATAATGCAAACGTTGAGGCAGATATAAAAACATGCATCCAACTCATAGAGGCAATTGGCGATTCGATATTTCAACCAATGCTGCTAATGACCTCAACCTAAAAAAATGGAATAAGGTCACTTTGGTACCGTTAGCTACTGATCTCAAACTATTGAAGGATTACCTTCATGAAAGTAGCTGCAAATCAGGTATCAATGCTACAAAAAAAATCCAAGCAATGAAAAGCATACACGTCTTTACTCGAGACAGTTTATTGTAGGTTGCTTTATTAAATGGAGGCGGCCTGGAGAACTACAACGACTTCCCATACATGTTTACAAATCCGCTATATCTTAGGAACACAATCAAGCCTATGAGGAGTTTTCAGAAGCAATAACAGAACCGAGAGAATTCTAATGAGATCTTTCCAAACGAATAGTAATCCGTGGAAAAGAGGCAGAGGTGTTCCAGTTCTTATAAGCAAGGATGTACAGGATCACTTGAATCTAATACTAGAGTGTAGAGATAATATTCAGACGGTGTCGAACATATATCTTTTCGGTAACCTAACTCCCAAGAACCCATTATTGGTTACAAGGTAATCAAAAAGTATGCGTCGTTATGTCAAGCGAAAAATCCGCATGCTCTGACTAGCACCCGTCTGAGAAAGCACTTGGCAACCTTGACTCAATTGTTCAACATGTCAGAAAATGACATGGAACAACTCGCATCTTTTATGGGACATACACTAGGTATCCACCGTGCATCATACCGATTACCAGATGACGTCTACCAAACGGCTAGACTCTCCAAGATTTTGACGTTGATGGAGAAGGGCGAGGCAGGTCATTTCAAAGGAAAATCCCTGGACGAAATTAATTTGAATCTAGACGAGAATTTGATATCAGAAGCGCAGCAGGATGATAACCACCCAGAGCCTCTATGCCAATATGAAGATATCCAAGAACCGCATCCAGATCCGGAATCTCAGCAAGTGGATATAACGTTACCAAAGAAAAAGTCCAGGGTTCTAGTTCCTTGGACTGAAGATCAGAAAAATTTAGTCTTGGTTCACTTTGGAAATCACATTAAATCTAAGAGGGCCCCAAAAAAGGCTGAATGCGATAACCTCATCGCAAGTCATACTGAATTATTACATAATAAGGACTGGCTAAAAATCAAAGTTTTCATCCAGAACCAGTACCGAAAGAAAAAATGAATACCATCTCAATTTATGAGCGAACCCGTTTTTTTAATAAAGTAGAAATTAAGTATGAACATATGTATCACAAACTAAGTATAAGCATTTTTTAGTAGTTTCATTTTGTCAATGTATAAATTCAGTTTTCTTCTTATGTATTTTCGTAAATAAAATTCATACCGATATTATTTGCGTTTATCCTTCGCTCCTATAACCGCGTGGTTGTCAAAGCACAAAATGTTGAAAAATGTAGGTCATTGTCCGAAAGCGAAGTTTATGCAATTTTCTCTTCGTTTGTTGACCACTCTGCAACCACTGCAGCTAAAGCGAATTTTTTGTGATTACATTAATTCCCTGCCAATAGGCGCGGTAAGTAAAAGCATATTTTTTAAATTGTAAAACTAGGATTAGCATATTTGTTTTTATTTTATTCTATAGGAAATTGGATTTGAGCATCACCTTTATCATATTTGAGAGTGTTTTTTTGTGAACATTTTTCCTTAATACTACACCATCCTTGATTTTCTATTCATGTGGTTGTATTTGCATAATGGTCTATCTATATTACCCTTTTTAATTTAGCTTGAGTAGCTTTACGCTAAACTTTGCTCTTTGTTCATATAATCATGTATTGTACACATCGTGACCCAATATTCCATGGACGTGAGATTACTAGTTATTTTCAGACTGAGAACAAGTCGATTGCACATAAGTTATCTGTATTCGAAGGTGCTTCGTTAGGGGGCATCAAAGTTTTCTTTTAAAAACACGTTTTCCAAGATATTTCAAAAGCCGGTAGGTCGATTTTAATGAAATTTGGAACACATATGCTCTGCTCAGCGTTCTAATATTTGCCTTTTACGAAAAACTCCAGAGCTTTTTGGAAGGGTGAAAACTACCCCCACACCTACATAAATTGTAGCAGAATTTTTCCCAACTTTCCTCATGACCGATTTTTTTATTTATTCCATCCTTTGTCTCTCATTAAAACGAGATATCTTTCATAGTTTTCGAGAAAAAAAAACCTTTTTTGGGGCTGGTTTCTAAAAAAATGTTTTAACACATCAAGCGTAAAAATCTAGTTGGCAAATAAACGAAGCACTTTTGCATAGAGGTGACTTATGTCAAATCGACTTGTTATGAGTCTAAAACCTGATTGGAAAAACATTTTTTTCCGAAAACTAGTAATAATAATCGTAATCATAATCATAATCACAACCATAATCGTAATCATAATTATATTAATAATGATAGTAATCGAACAAATATATTATTGCTGCATTACGGTACTCTCGGTCACGGACGCCCCTATTATAATGCCTGACGGCGAACTGGGCCGCACCAGACATAGAAAGGTGAAAAGCCGATCCTCTAACACAGCAAATATATAAAATACCTAATACAGCGATGCCAATATTAAGGAGGATCTAAAAGCGATAATCTGGATACTGAATACCCGGCAGATGACCGATCCACTGTAGACCTGACTGGTAATATTTGATAATATACGGGCTGAATACCCAAGCGATCGTGAGTCCACCAAATCGGCGCGGCAAAACCCTGAAACTACGGTACCCAAAATTC